TGGCTTTTTCAACAAGCGGGCCTGACCTAGGGTGAGTTTTAAATAGGGACAATTTTTAACGATTTTAAAGAGCCACAGCTACCAATATTTGGGTTTTAATTGGTTTTTAGTAGGGGAAATTTTTTGTATGATGTTTTAATATGCTGTGAGCCGCCCTGAGTCCCATGGGGAGAAGGGCGGCATATAAATCCTGTAAAAATAAAAAAAATAAAATAAAATAAAAAATAAACAAGAACCAATGGCAAATGGCTAACAACCTACAGAGACCCAACACTGTTGTTTTTAATTTTTTAATGTGTTTAGTTTTATAGTTTCAATATTTTATAGTTTTAATTTTTGATTAAGAGCTGCGTAGATTTGGATAGTAGATGGGCAGCTATATAAATATTTTGAATGAATGAATGAATGAATGAATGAATCCAAAAGGGGCTTCAACCACCTTAACCCAAGGCTTGGGAGAAAGTCAGGTCTTTAAGGCTTTCTGGAATGCCAAGCAAGGTGGGAGCCACACAGATATTGGGGGGCGGGGGAGGGGGAATCTCATTCCAGACCCAACTTGCTGTGGCCCACTCGCCACGACCAACTCACTACGATCAACTCACCGCGGGACAATTTAACAGTTCAATTTAATTATTTAAAATAAATTAAAAAAATGTTTTATTTTTTGTCATTCACATTTCATTTTGTCCCTCCTTTTGCATCCTTTCTTTAATTATTCTATTCCGCCATTTCTTCTATATTAGCGTAACTCGTGTTCCACAGCAAGTTGGCCATAGCAAGTTGGCTGTGGAGAGTTGGCCACGACGAATTGTCACAGACCCTCCCTAATTTGTAGGCTGCACTAGTTCACCAGTACCCTGTTTCAGCTCATTCCAGCTGAGCAGACACCATACCAGTACCTGGAATCTCACTTGAAAGGGTCCTGGTAAACTAGTGCAGCTTAGAAAGCAGGGCTGTCACACTGGCATACACAAGTGTGCCCATCACTGCCCATACCACTGTATTTTGGACTAATGGATGACAAAACCACTCTTAGCATTTTTTTTTTATCCTGTGTGTATTGTATTGTCTTTTCTAAGACTAAGATGAAGGTGATTTCTTTTAAATTTAGCCTGGAGGAATTTTTGAAATAGCTAGATTTGCTATTTTCGCAGGTATCAAAAGTACTCATCTCAAAACTGCTACCTTTATATAAGAGCCAGATTGCTTGGTCAAGTGCCCAGTTAAGGGAAAAAAGATTTACCTAGTAACAATTCACCAGGGG